GGAAGTTTGGAATTAACCCAAGATTGAGTATCACGGTGAGAATTCTCTTGTGTACTACTGTTGACAAAAAACGAGTTGTTGCGGTTGTGAGAAACTGGATTATGTGAAATGTTGTTCCAGTCTCGCTGACTGACTTGTATGCTAGAAGGACTAAAGCAGTATGGCTGAAAGCCCATACTGTTGGAGACCTGTTGCATAACCAGAAGCCATTTGCACAGGCACATGTTTTTGACTGTGTATGTGCTCGCCTTGAATTGCCTAAGTTAAATGGGCATGTTGCAGTCAAACTAAGCGAATTGGATGAAATTGACCCTTTACTGTTTAACTCAAAGAATGTTCCCTTTTCAGGAACATTTACAAGCAAGGATTCTCTAAATATGGCATGTTACACCGCCATTTCAGAACTCCGAAGGACAGGCGTGGTACAAGGGGAGATTCATGTGAACTGGTTATCCGTTTGCAAGGTCAGGGTTCCAAGGCCTGATGGTTGTGCCATGAGTGAGTACGTTGAAGGGGTAGCGCAGTCCCTGACATGTCTGGTCCTCTCTTCCCTTGACCGTAATACCGCGGAGACGTGGATCGAATGCCCCAAGTTGTATGAAATAGGGTTTCGAAAGATGTATATTGAGAATGAGAATTACGAGATCATTCAGTCTGCTAAAGAAGTGGTCCTCACCGAGATGAGAAAGAGATACGGGGAGAACCACTTGGCTAAGATCAGTAAGTGGGATCCTAAGGGTGATGTGCAACATGCGTATGTCCTGTCGAAGGAAAAAGACAAGGAGAAGAAAAGACTCATAGTTCCGTATTTCTTAATTCCTTACCGAACTGCCTCTCGTTTACTTTCCACCGCTTTGAATACATTGATTAAACGGACCAAGGCACCTCATTTTAACCTTTGAGCAATCGGCGACCTGAAACCCGAAGTTTCCAGGATTGATCGATTCGCACCGAAGGGATATGGGCCTGAAGCACGCACATATGACATCAAGGAAATGTTTACTCAACTCCCCCACACTGAAATTATTCTTGCAGTAAGGTGGATCGTGGAGCTGTTCCGACAAAGAGGGATCAAAAGAATTCGAATTAACTCCTGGAAGAAAGTTGCCACCTTTGGCAAGTCGCACGGGGAAGCAGGGTGGAAGTCGGTCTGACTGAGCTAGCTGGTGGGACTAACCAGCTTCCAGCTGGAAAACACGTTTTTTATGGTGTCTGGATTAATTCTCCGACAGACGCTTGGGATTCTCATGGGAGGACGGGCAAGCCCTCCCCTTGCCTGCGTGATGTGTATGCTCGCCGAGTTTGTCTTTCTGTCTGCACTTGGAAGTGATGGTCGCTTGATTGCCGGTAAAAGATATATTGACAATCTATTGATTATTGCCTTGTTCAAGAAAGGTGACCAAGTGAGCCATCAACTTGCCAAGGAACGGCTGGATCGCGTCACCAGCTGTTACCCCGATGGCCTGCAGCTTGAACGCACTGACATGGGGATGGGAGTCCTTGATTTCCTTGAGACCCGGTTGCAGGTCATTAATGAAGCATCCCTAGCGATGTCTTAAAAGTTTAAGAACGGGTATTCAATTTGGGACGATGGTCCCCTGAGATTCCGTACATACAAAGACTTTGCCTCTTTTGGGCCCCGCCTAACAAAGTTTGCGACGGTTGCCAACACCATTCTCAGGATCTCGAATAACTCTAACCAAGCGGGGATCACCGTCCTCAATATCCTCAGCCTTGCTAAGGAGCTCCGGAAAACAAATTACCCTGATGAAGTCGTGTTGGCTGGACTGGATTGGATGCATCGACGCGACGGCAGTAGGATCTAGAAAGATATGTCCTGTGTAATTGAAACATGGCTTACGGACAGGTAACTTCCTGGGTTATCCTACATAGCCAGATACGGGATATGCAGGAGAATTTTCTGGATGCCAACTGGGTTTGTTTTGTTGTGTATACCACCATCGTCCGGAGGCGCGCCGATGGTTTTTAGTTTTTGGCCTGCATATCGTGCTTTCTTGTCCTATTAAGCAGGGGTGTGAATTGACGGGAATAACTGGAGGGCTAGGCCCGAGCGGGTCTTGTGAGGGGTATCACTATGTTTGGTGTTAGCCTGGTACCGATCAGCAGACTTTGTTTTTCAAGGAGGCCGGCAGAGCCCCCACCATGAGAGTTTTTCGACCAGAAATAAGAAAGGTCAGGACGACCTGTAACTGAGTTCAAGAAGGGCATAGGCATAAGGACTTGAATTCCGGGTTGATGAATCAACCTGTCGGCCGGGAACGCCCGCGTACGGGTGAAACGGTGATACAGTAAACATATATATACAATAGGTAGATAGTAGCCTTCCTCAGCCTGAGTGGCGAATGAGTGGAAGGGTTGAGATGCCTCGGCGGTGTGTGAGTGTCGAGGTATGAAGGAGAGAAGTTGATGTCGCCATGATAGTAAAACTCACGTCTTCTTCTTCTTAAGTTGTATCCATTTTTGTGTGATTTTCTCTATGGTACGCATCCTCAAATTCGACCTTGTCGTGGCTTGGGCACAAATTTGAGGTGTCGAATCTCCCTCGTGAGATCGTGCTTATACGTTGTTATTGTTGTTCATCACTATTTTTATTGTTATTATTGTTATTATTTTCATTATTATTATTGTGTTGTTTCTTATTCAATTGTATTTCACATCAATTACTTGAATTGATTAATTATCTAAATCAGGCACTCTCCGTTATTAATTTGTTATCCCTGCTATTTGTGCGATCTTTGGGATCATGGTTTGCACCGTTTCCATAGTTATTATCATTGCTTGAGTATGATCCCGCCTCCGCCCAAAGTGTATAGTCGTATTGGATGCTTCCTTCGCACGGCGCGAACCATTTGAGATTAATCATAGTTTTGGTGCGCCACTTGTTCTTACCGCGGGCGTGGACGATCACGCGTGTGATTGATCGACTTGGTTAGGAGCCGGTATAGAAGAACAAGCGCTCTCGTGTGAAGCACTGGTATGGTGATATCAGCGAGCGATTTCTAGTGCGGTGTTAATTCTTATTACCCGTACGATACGATTGGGGGTTTGCGCGGGATGGCCTCGTATATGTAGGGAGAGTATGCATTGCCGACTCACTCCAAGTCGATAATTGGGGAGGAGTGGCATGGAAGGTGGTCGGCAAACTTCTGTAATGACCTCCTTGTGTCTCCGTACTTCTCCTTGCGTGTCCGTGCGTATCATGGGTTGATCGGTGCGCTCTACTACGCGCAGGCGGACGTTGCCAATGTTGAAGCACATTCCTCATACGAGTGCGGCGTCGTAACGTGTCGCGTGGGAGAGAAGGTCGTCTCCTCATCTCATGTTTTGGCGCCTCTGGACCTCTGAACTACGTACTGATACCAAGCTCAACGAAGTGAAGCACAAGATTGGACTGGGCCTTGGGTGGATTCTGTTCGCTTTCTCCGTGCTAAGTCGTATGTACGGGAGAAGCCGTAACGGGAGCCGAGGAGCCAGGCGTGGCCGTTGGTCTAGCTGTGGTCGGTATTGGACGAACATGAACAACGGTCAGCAGTTATCAAACCAAGCTGGCATTGGGCAGTATAATTCCGCGCCTCCGGGCATTGTACCAACGTATGTTGTGCCTGTTGTGCAAGCGCAAGGTGTGCAGGAGCAGTTACCGCAGGCGCAGCAGTAGCTATCTCCGGCGAATGCTGCACCGTCCGTCCCGGTGAATAGCGGGACTCACCCCCAGTATGCTATGCCACCAATTGCAGCCCCTTGGGCTATGCAGCCGTGGCCGACCACGGCGCAATGGCCTACTGCCATTCCATGGCAGGTGGCCCCTGCTGGGAATGCTAATCCTCTCCCTCTGCCTCCACCGCCAAGTGTGTAGGTACCTAGCATCCAGGTACAGAGCGCGCAAAGTGGTGATCCTCCCGGTTCTAGAGTTCTGAGTCTTCGAACCAATGGTGAAAACCGGCCGTCTAATCTAAACCATGGGAAGGGTCTTGCTGCGAATGTTTTTCTAGGCCCAGGCAACCGGGCGTATTTTACGAAAGAATACATGGACATCTTGGAAGATATTAAGTCTGCGAAAGCTCTCGACGCTGCGAAGAAGAAAGTTGTTGGAGGCAGGATGGGGGGTGTGCGAATATCAGACAACACCAATGAGAGTTGTAGATCCGAAGTCCGTTCAAGCAGTAAGACTGACGAGATGAAGGCATGGGTTACTTCGACCCTCGGCGATTCCTTGAAGCTAATCACCCAGAAACTGGAGGAAGTGGATTCTAAATCCAAGCTGGTGGCTACTGAGAAGGAGGAGCTAATGCGACTTAGAGCTGAGAAGGCCGCCCTTGAAAAGGTTAAGAAGGAGGCGAGTGGCGAAAAGCGAAAGCATGAGGTTGCTGTGGCGCCTGCTGTTGTTACGCCTGCCAACAATGCAAAGTCCCGATCGAGAGGAAGTTCGATAGGGCGATCTTGCCGAGTTGAAATTTCCTACGATGAGAAAGACACTGATGTTGATCAAGTGCGGCAGAACTTGAGCGAAAAGCTGGAGAAGAGCAGTGACTTGTCTGAGGTGAAGAAAATGTTCGCTCCGATTGCGTAAAGCCTTGCTGACGTAAAAGGCAAGCAGTCAGTGGTGGATCCTGGAAAACCACCCGTCGTGGAGCACAAAATGGAGGAGGAGGATACTGAAGACGTGGACGTTGCTGCTAACACTCCATTCCATGAGGAGGAAGAGGTTGACGAGGGAGGTTTGGCCGCGTACATGAAGATGCGGCAGGACTTTTACATGTCGCTGCATTACACCAGGATGCAGGAAATTTGCAAGCAGAGGGAAATTTCTTCCTTCCAGAAGAAACCAGCGACATGGGAATTGGCGAGGTCGCATCTGCAAGAGTACGCTGATCAGTTGAATGGTAACGTTATGAATGGTATCAGCGTCGGGAACAAAGGTGCTGAGCCTTCTCGCAGGACGACTCGGAGGAACATTGATAATTCAGAGTCTGGAAATGAGACGGGTGGTGACTCAATTTCGGGGAACTGATTAGGGAGCTTTCACACCTTAAAAAGAGCATCAAAGCGCATTCGGGCCCTGCGATGCTCGGCTGACAGCTGACTGCAGTCGCTGATGGATAAGATCCAGGTCTTGACTGTCCTGTTGGCTTGCCTAACGGAGGATATAGCGTGGGGACGAGCATACTTACCCTTCTGGCTTCGCATGCCTAATGAAGAGTGGGGCGGCCTGCTTGATGGCCGCTGTTGTGTGTATGCACTTATGTCAATTGAGTTTAAGTTGGTGTACGTTGGAAAGACCATCCGCCCATTCAGGGAGAGATGGTCTGAGCACTGCAGGGCTGCAAAAGCTGGTAGTAAAAAGCTGCTGCATTCTTGGCTGCGTAAGGTTGGCACTGAGTTCTATGTTCCAATTCCTATTTGGTCCGGAGCTACTCTTGCTATCGAGGGAATCGAACCTAAGATTATTCAGAGTCATAACCCAAACTTAGACTCAATTGGTCATAGGAGGGCAAAGTCCCCTCGAAAGGGTCGAGGGAAGAAACACTCTGGTTGTAGGCCGTCCATGGTCGCCATGTCCAAACCTTTGTTTTTTTACTGTCCGGATATTAAGATCTGTCAGGAACCAGACCTAATGAGGATTCTTGAAATGCTGGGAAAGCGAAAAAGACGTGATCCGATGAACATTAGTAATAAGCCCGGATGTCGCTGGTTGAAAGCGTGGCGATTGGTGGCTCTGTTGTTTGGTTTTTCTAAGATTGTGTGTGATGGCATTAAGATGCTGTTGAGAGACGCTAAGACCTTAATTGAAGCAGGGGGTTGTTGGTCCATTACCCAATTATGTAGAACTCTGACCAAATCTGATCTGATGAAAGCCCACCTCATTGCCCTTCTACGTGCCCCCTCGAAGAGGAGGGATTTGTATGTCTGCTCGCCGGAAGAACTAATAGACTTAAATAAT